TTCTCTGCCCTCCCAGCTCAAGAGTCTGGGGGCTACGGCAGGAAGCCTGTTCAACTGGAGGGGGGTGCGCGCCCAGCAGATTGCAGCGCTGGAGATGGGATGGGGGTGGGGCACAGATGGGAGGCGAGAACTCAGGGAATGCGGGCACACCGGGAGTTGCGCGCGGGCAGGGGACACAGGGCCAGCGCTCTGCCAGAGTACCAGGCAGTCCTGCCAGGAAGGGGAACCGGGAGGGCCGGGCACCCCTCTCTCCGGCTTCCCTCCCCCTTGCTTTCCAGCGCTTGTCACATCCTGTCTAAGGCCTGATATTTCACGTGAGCAAATGGAAGGGGATTACAATGAAGATTTATGTGCGTTCCGAGAGCGGCTGCTTTCCCAGTCTAGGGAACCCTGATCGCCGCTTCCCATTTCCATTTTTCATTTGCGCTTTGGGGAGTGCTGGGGGGAGCGTGTCTGCGCGGGCTGCGGGCTGATCACAGGGCTCCGGGGCTCCCGGCGGGCCGGAGACTGTGAGAAACGCTTACCAGCGCGTCGCCCCTAGCGGGGCTGGAGCCGGCCCCCGCCTCCCCTAGCCCCACTTGTTTCTCTCCTTGCCTACCCCTCCCTCTCCCCTCCCTCCCTCTCCCAGCCTTTTCACTTCAGGGACCCTGGCGCGTCCTCCTGCTCCCTTCTCTTTGCCCGACTCCTAGTCTGCGGAAACGCCCCCTTCCTCTGGCCCCAGCACCCTCCTGCCCTCCCCTCGCTGGCTCCCCGGGGAAAGGCGCGCCGTGGCCGAGCCCGACCCCGCCGCCGTCGGGTGCCAGGTTCGGTGACTCCGGCGAGTCTGTGGGGCCTCGGCCCACCCCGGAGTTGGGGCCGCCCGCCCTCCCGGCTCCCAGACTCAGTTCATGCCAAGGCCTGTTGCGTGATTCCAACTTGGGCTGACATTCCCTGCCCCGGGCGCTCCGGCGTAGGCCTCTTAATCATCTTGTCTGCTGCAGATCCTCGACACCAGCCAATTTTACTGCCCCGTCTCTCCGCCACTGGTTTCGGGAGGAGGGGAAGGGGAGTGCGCGCAGAAGAGGGAAGGGCACAGTCAACCGCAGGAGGAAGACTGGCACCAGCTACTGGCACTCCAAGAAACCACAGAATTCAGAGTTGGGGTAGGGGAGAGATGGGGGGGGGGGTGTCTCCCAGGCATCGGCTACTTAAGGAAGCCCAGAATCGCAGAACAACGGGCTTTCTACGCTGACCTTCCTGTTTTAGGAAAGCAATGTTAGCTAAGGCTGGATTTGTGTAGCCTTCCTGCCTTCCCCCCTAGTTCCAGCACTATGGACCATACTCCACTGTGAGCCAAACTCTATGTGTTCCAAGTCAATCTAGCCAGAAAAATCCGGTCTCTTCCTTCTCCTCCCCACTCAGGATGATGCCACGAAGCATAGAAAGTCACCCAATTCCCTGCCTGTGTTTTTGACAGAGATTAGTTGAAGACATGCAGGACATACTGGATAGGCAAACCATACTAGAGAGGAGGCCTGTATCAGGCAAGCAGAGCTCTCTGCCTGCCCCAGGCCTCCTCTCCAGTAAAAGGCAAGTCCCTTCAAAGAAGATGGCTGAGCTTCAGGCTACTGGGTAAGAAAGGGCCAGCATACTCCAAGCGCTGGGTGCTTGTTGGTCTTCCACATATGATGAAATTGCAAAGGTCTTTGAAGTAACTTTGTGCCTCATAATAGCAGGCAAAAGTAAAGCGTCCCTGCTTGGTGGCATTGTGACAATACAACAATAAATAATTAAAAGTTATTGAGAACTTGCTATGTGCTGAATGCAGTTGATACGATTTTTCATTATTTTATAAATCTGGAAACTGGCATACAGAGGTTAATTGGGTTAGCCATGGTGAAACAACTAGTCAGTGATTGAAGCCAGGATGCTTGGCTGTGGGCTCCAACACTCTCAACTAAAAGGAAGGGACTTTTAGTTTAGGTTTACATTAACCACCTACCCCCCTGGCCTTTGCAAGCAATGCCAGAAAGTAGGGTAGCTTCCAAAGCTAGAAGCTCCTTGCATGGGCCCCACTTAGAATGCTGTGTAGAACTTTATCCTCCAGGAGTATGAGGCCAAAAGATGCCATCTACAAGTCTCCGTGTGAGAGTGATGTGTGCATATGTGGATTTGTATATTAGTGTATGTGAGGGCATGTGAATGTGAGGGTTCCTGTGTGTGGTTACTTGTGTGAGTGTGTGCTAGAGTATGTGTCATTGTGTGTGCCTGAGTACAGAAGGATATGAAAGCATGAACGTGACTGGGATTGTGTATTAGTGTGTGGGTGAGAGTGATAGTATACTGGTGGTGGTGGTGTGCGGTTGATTTCCGGAGGAATTCATAATGACCCTGTACAGGATTTCCAAGGCTGCATATCTTTACGGGAGCAGAAATCCTATTTTACTACTGTTGAGTGGCCGGTAGATTGTAGCTGCTGACCTTGGGCTTAGAAGCCCAACGGTATAACTACTACACTACGAGGACTCCTTGGTAGTATAGTGGTGGTGGTGGTTTTGTGCCATGAGTCGATTTCCGACTCATAGCGACCCTGCAGTGTTTCCGAAGCTGTAAATCTTTATGGGAGCAGCAAGCCTCATCTTTCTCCCGCGGAAAGGCGTGTAGTTTCTAACTGCTGCCCTTGAGGTTAGCAACCCGACTCATAACCACTAAACTACCAGAGTATATTATTGTTGTTGTTTCTGTTAAGTGTTGTTGAATCTGTTCCGATTCTTAGCGACCCTGTGTAGTGTTTCCGAGGAGCGGCTGGTGAGCTTGAACCGTCCACCCTTTGGTTTAAACCGACTTTGCATTCCAGCAATTAACTCACAATGCCACACCATAACTCCACCAGAGTATACTGTTGTTAAGTGCTGTACAGTCGGATCCGACCCATAGTGACCCTGTATGTTGTTAAGTGTTGTCGAGTCGGTCCGACCCATAGCGACCCCGTACTGGGTTTCCTAGGAGCAGCTGGTGAGTTTGAACCGCTGACCTTAAGATTCAAATAGGTTTAGCAGTGCAGCGCATTAACCTGCAGCGCCACACCAGGATTCAAAGTAACCCTGTAATTGTTAAGTGCCATCGAGTCAGTTCCGGCCCATAGCGACCCTGTATGGGTTTCCGACGAGCAGGTGCTTCAGAAAGTTCGTAGGGGAAAAAAATTAAGTTCGTAGAAAAAAATTACTGTTTTTTTAAAATAAAAATTTCCACGAAATTTTTGAAGCCCCCTCATATATGGGTGGAGCCCTGGAGTGGCGCTGCAGGATAATGCACTTTACCTTAAGGTGGGTTTGAACAGCAGAGTCGGTGGTTCAAACTCAACAATACTCCCTCCTCGGAAACCCTATACAGGGTCTCTCTCTATGAATTGGAATCGACGGCACTTAACAACAACAACGTATATGCATGACTTTGAGAGCATATGTCAATGTTTGTGCTAAGCTTGGCCTTGTGTACAGGGATGGCCTTGGGTTCCAAAGCTGCCACCTTTGCCTTTCTCCAGATTGCGGGCCTGAGTGACTCACTCCCTGAGTTTTCTGCTCAGCCGGCGCCGCGCTCTCCCCTAAGTGCCATAGGACGAATAGATACGACGCTTCCTGTAGGGGTCCGACCCCTCGCTGAGGCAGCTTTCAGGCCACCTAAGGAGGTCCCTGCGGCGGCCCAGGTGTGAGGGCAAGCCAGCAGCGCGGACGCGGGGGCGGCGGAGACGGCCCCGGCGCTGGGCGGTGGCGCCGGCGCCAGCGCGGCCGGGCGGAGGTTGGAGCCGCCCGGTAAAGAGTGACTCACCACGCGGCGAGCTGGCGAACCCAGCGCCCCGACCCGGGCGGGGGCGGAGCGTGAACTCTCAGCAGTGGCCCTGCGCCAAGCGCGCCAGTCCTTGCCTCGCCCCACCTCAAGGAGCTTGCAGTTTCTGAAAGATGTATATGTCGTCTCGGATTCCCGGCTTGGTCGGCAGTTCCCACTCCCAGCGCGTGACCGACGGAGCGCTGACCCAAAGGAAAAAGCGCACACATCCAATGAAAACAATAATTTATTTAAATAATCTCTTCATATTGTAAAATCAACATTAAGAGCATGTTGTTTTCATAATAAATAACCCCAAAATACCTTTCATTTCAAGAACAAAGACTTTAGGATAAGATAATACAAATTCAAATCAGTAGCTTCATTTAACAGAGTTTTTTTTGGGGGGGGTAGGAAAAAGTAAAAGAGGTGGCTGAGGTCACTGCTAAACGGCAGTTTTCACAACTGGAGGTTTACAAAAAAGTCTGCAAAGATGAGTATTTTTATACAAATAAATCAGTGGGAAAATCTGCACACACACCTTTATTTACAAACTCCGTGTCGAAGAAGTCCAGGCTAATAATCCTGAATAGGTTTTAAAAAAGATAATTCAAGCACATTTTTTGCAATGTCCACATATTAAAAAATCATTTTTTTCCAACATCAAAATGAGGTCATCCGCAAAGGCACCTAAACTTTTAAAAAAGTAAAAATAAAAAAAATCCACTGGTGATTGATGGGGAGAAAGCTAAGGTAACGCTTAGGACAGCGCTTAGGCTGGGAGGGGACTCAGGGGGCTGCAAAAAGCAGGGCAGGAAAAAAAGCGGCGGGGCGGCCTGGGTCAAGGGGGCACGTGGGGCTGGCGGGCAAGCGAGACCCCAGGAGGTCAATAACCGAAGCGGCTGGAACTGCGCCTGGGGGCGGCCGAGGAGAAAGGGGCCTCTGAGCGCCCGACGCCTCGCGGGCGGGGGAGGCGGCCCTCTTTGGGGCTCGACTCGCGGCCCGGGGCGAGGACGGCGCCGGACGGACTCGCCGGGCGGGGAGGGGAGGGGAGGCAGGGCCGAGGCGGGGCTCGAAGCCGCCGAGGCCCAGGGCTCAGGTCGGCAATGTGGCTGCGGGTTGCGGCCCTTGCCAAGCCGCTGCAGTTCGGCTTCCCTAAGAAAAGCCGGAGCACCGTCCCCAGCCCGCTCGGTGGCCGTGCGAGGGGTGGGTGGTGGCTGCGGCCAGCAGTGAGAGCCTTCGACTCTGTAGGGTTAACACTGAGGCTAAATGGTCTCTACTCTGTTTCTGGCGCCAGCTCCCAGGATTAGAAAATAGTCCCCGCGCTAACCGGGGTGCCCCCGCCGCCGTGGTGATGGTGGTGGTGGTGATGGTGGTGGTGATGGGGCTGCGGGGTCTGTGTCGGGTGCAGCAGCGGCGCCGCAGCCTGCAGGTGGGACGCGGAGCCGGAGGCCTGGTGGTACCACGGGTAGTTGCCCAGGAAAGCCGAGGCCGCGCTGCTGGGGCTGGAGCCCGAACTGCCTGCACCGCTGCCACCGCTGCCTGGGCCGCCACCGCCTCCCATTCGAGGCGGCGCGCCGAAGTCCCAGGTGGCCGGCGCCGAGACCGGCGGTGAAGCACAGGGTGGTGACGCGCTGGCTCCCGGATGTTGCTCCGAGGGGATCTCGCCACTCTTCCACATCTTCTTGAATTTGGACCGGCGGTTCTGGAACCAGATTTTGACCTTTTTGAAAAAGGGACCAGAGCGTTAGTGGAGGCACCTCGGCATAGGGCAACTGTGTATGGGGGTAGCGGAGATCAGAATTACAGGCGGCTAGAGAGGTCCCCCAACACCTAGGCGGGTAATCCGGCCACGTGTAGCGGCCCCCCAGACTCAGATTGTTTCTGCTCTATTTGAGAGGCCGTGCTGAAAGGCCTGAGGCTTTAGGGGGGCTACGTGCAGTGATGGTGACAGCAGGAGAGATTTGCAAGGCCAGTTATTTTACCCGCTTAGTTAGTAGCGTGCGGATACACAACGTGGTACCGGATTTCTGCCCCAACAATGTCCCTTCCTTCTCTCCCACGCGGAGGCCCTCACAGGAATTTCAGCTTCGTGTCTAATACTTAAAAACCACTTAAAAAAAAACTTCCTTATGAACCTGCCTGCCTTCTGCAAGCCCTGGCTGGCGCCCACAACCTCCGCAGGCCGTGAGCCCCCACCTGAGTCTGGGTGAGGCCCAGGGACGCCGCCAGTTCGGCTCGCTCCGGTAGTGCCAGGTACTGAGTTTTTTGGAAGCGCCGTTGAAGAGCAGCGAGCTGGAAACTGGAGTAGATAGTACGGGGTTTCCGGACTTTCTTTGGCTTCCCGTTCACTATTCGTATTTCAGGCTCAAGGTCCTCCTTTTCTGCAACGAAACGCAACCATAAGAGCCGCGCAATCCGCCCCTCAACCCGCAAGAGATCCTGTGCGTCAGCAAGGTCCGGCGTGGGACTTGGCCTGAGCCGGAGAGCAGGTTCTTGGACACGCGGGACCGCGCCCCGGCGCAATTCGCAACGCGCGGGTCAAGTCTCCCAGAAGGCCGGCCAATCAAAGGGGAAGATAGGCGAACAACAGAGAGAAAGTAGAAGCGAGTGGAAAAGAAATCCTGTTACCCCGAGGCATGCACCACGCGCCCACTCGGCCTCTGGGGTCACCCGGTCCCACCAGTTGTGCGTGGAGGTATGTACCCGGTGACCACTGTGGAGGCTGGGGCGGGTAAAGTGCGCGGAGCGGGAGAAGAGCAGGGTTCCCGTTGGGCCTCTCCCTTCCACCCCAATGTTTTTATCCCACACATCTTAGTAACTAGACTGACTCGTCACCATTAACGCCAGTGTTCTGCATACCAGGCTCGTTGTTGGCCGGAGGCGAACTAGTCGCATAGGGCGCGTAGGAGGTGTAAGCTGCTGTATATCCCAGGTCGTAGCCGTTCTTGGCGGAGTAAGGGACGTTGTTGAGGCCGCTGGTATGGTACTGGTAGGAACCCATGTGCGAGTAGGGCGAGCCCCCGCTGCCGCCGCCGCCTGCCGGGTGTTGCTGATTGGTGTAGTAGCTGCTGTCGGTAGCTGTGGACACTGGAAGGGTCGGCGACTCCTGGGGCTTGTGTAGACTGCCGCTGCTGCCGTTGCTGCTGCCGGGACCGGCGCCGCCGCCGCCGCCGCTTGTAGGCTGCTGGTGCTGGTGGTACGTGCTGGAGGCCGTGATCTGGGTCGAGTGCATATCAGCCACCAAACTGTCAAAGACTCCAGTCATCCTGGCCGGGGTCGGGAAAGACCAGGGGTGGCAGGCGCGTGGGGGGAAGCCAGGCGCCTCCTCCGTCTCTCCCAGTCCTCTCCAGCAGCCAATGTAATTACGGGGGAGTGAGCGGGGGGGAGGAAAACAAGAAAAGTGGCTACGGTCTAGGCGCCTCCTCCTCCGGGGGAGGCGATCACCATGCACTGCTGTGGACAACTGCCGCCGGCCGCATCCTCTCCTCCTCTCGGAGGACTCGGCTTAGTGCCCAGCGCAAGCGCGGGCTCGGGCGGGGGGCGGACAGCGGAGGGGGCAGCGGTGGAAGGGCAGGACCGGGGCCCCGGAAGGCGGGAGCAGGTGAGCAGCCCCGAGCGGCTTTACGATTGTCTGCCAGGCGGGCTCCTGCAGGGTGGGCATTTAACACTCGTCACGTGAGCGCCAGCGACGTCACCTAGCAACAGCAAATCAGAAGCTCCCGGCCACGAGTGCGGGCTCCCCTGGACCGCCCGACTGGGGCGGGGGAGGGGGAGCTGGTGTCACCCGGGGCGCGCTGCAGCGGTCGCGGCTGAATGAGAGCTGCTAGGCCTAGTGGCCCCGGGGGGTGGGGGTGGGGGTGGTGTCCGGGTGTCCCGCGACCGGAGGACGGAAGCTGTGAAGACAGAGACTCAGGAAGAAGCAGTGGCATCTCCCATCTTATTCCGTGTGCAAGTGCCTATCAGTTCTAGAGAAACATACGTTCCTGTCCGAGCTGTTTTCAAACTCATTAGCCAGAATAAAGCGGCGTGAGAGCCCGGTCAACTCCAGCGCCGCTTTTTCTTCAAGTATCTGGCAGCCACTAGGCACTTGATGTAAATGATCCATTTGTTGTTGTTAAGTGCCGTCGAGTCGGTTCCGACTCATAGCGACCCTGTATAAGATTTCCGAGGAGCAGTTGTGACTTGGAACAGCCGAACTTGAGGTTAGCAGTCCTGTGCTTATCCTGTAGTGCCACAGCAAGGCTTCAAGTGATCCATAAACACCGTATAATAATAATACCGGCTTCCTACTATAACCCACAGGGATATTAAGACAATTAATTAGATCATATTTAAACGATTTCTCCTTCCTTGTTGCTTGAGAGAAAAAGGTATTACAGTAATAACACATTAGAAACCACTTTCCCCGACATGCAGAGGCTCCGAGTAATTACGTATATTTGCTGGCTAATTGACACCCAGAAAGTAATTCCTGAGAGTTCTTCCTTGGGGTAGAAATCTAGACGTCAACGTTCATTTTAACTTCAAATTCTGTGTTCCTAAAAAAACGAAGTGGAATAGTATTTAGGCGAGAGAATGAATAGTCTTGATACGAGATTTATCAAGTCGGCAAATTTATACCAATATAAAAAGCTTTATCCGGTGCATTTAATTAATCCTATTTAACACTTGTGTAGCACTGTAGGATAAGCACTGGACTGCTAACAGCAAGGTGGGCGGTTCAATCCCACTAAACTCTCCTCGGAAACCCTATACAAGAACCGATTTCACGGCACTTAACAACTCCCACGTTTGCACCTTAGGGCGGTCTTCTGTGATTTCGTCTTTTTATTAAAAAATATGAAGTGACGATCTCCTGTATAGGTCTGTAACTTGATATTGAGGCACGGGGCCCAGCAGTAGTTGCGGACGCCAAGTGTTGTGCAGGTCCTGTTGCTGTGCTTGGTTGGTGGCGCCACCTAGTGTGCACTGTGCAAAGCTACGGCGGGCCCAGTAGACAGTCTAATCACACCGAGGCGCCAGCCTCTGAAACCCCCCAAACGAGCAAAATAGTAATTAAAAGCCACAAAATTGTGCTAGTGCGCGCTATTTGAAGCACCCTTTCCTAAAAACATAACATGTCGCCGAAAGAACTTGTTATAACAACTGTCTAGAGGAAAACAAGTTGATACTCTGAAAAACATGATCTTTGGTCTTATTCCCCCAGAAAAAGCAAGAGTGTAATTAAATCTGTAGCATTCACAAAACTCACCTTTAGGGGAATAATGAGGCAGATAATCCCGCCTTCAAGTCTGCCTGGATTTAGTCCCCAGCCTTCATTTTTGGTTAAAGATGGCCAAAGATGAGTTTATCTGAAGCCACCACCACCACCACCACCACCAGGACACCATGATCCTGACAGGAAGCTCTCTGGTTGATTCCTGGCTCAGTTTCAGGATTACTCTCTGTAAATCAAGATAGCCTTGTGGTGTCTTTGCTATAAAATTCTAAATCTTTCTTTCTGCCAACACACAGGTAGCTGTTTTGACCTAAAATAGACTCCTTTTTAACCCTTGAAAATGAAATGTAAGAAACCTAATTGCAGTAGTCTTTCCTTCTGCTCCCTGTTCCTTTGTTTCCCCACCTGAATGAAGCATGTCAGCATAATACTTTTTCATGGTGACAAGTTGGTTGTATTTTGTTTGTACCTGAACTTTCATTAACAGCCTAAGACTGAGTAGTCTGGGATCCGGAAAATGGCATATTTCTGGAAGGCAATATATCTCTTTGTTGTTGTTGTTAAGTGCCCTTGAGTCAGTTCCAACTTACAGTGACCCTGTGTATAGTTTCTGAGGAGCGGCTGGTGAGTTTGAACCACCGACCTTGAGGCTTAAACCCACCTTGTGGTTCAGTGCTTATCCTACAGCGCCACACTAGGACTCCAAGGGAATATGTCTCTGATAAACAAAGGACTGTGTGTGTGTGTTTGAGGCAATGAGCAAGGAGAGAAAGAGAAGCAGAAGCTGTAACTATGTTTTGAGAGTCAAGTAAGGCCTTGAGTAAAATTCTCATTATTTGGCTACAACTTTGAGTTTCCCAGGTTATCTGCATCACAATCTCCAAATAATTTCCTCAGGGCCATTCAAAATCAGAACTACAGTCAGGTAAAGAATTGACTTTTTCCCAAGTTCAGACTGAGGATGCCTCTCTGCATAGTGATTTGAGAGGGTGTGAGCAGGGGAAGAGAGTGGTTTCACAGGAGGTTGGGGGAAGAGGGTGCCTGCCTGAGACTCAGATGGCTTCCTCATCTCAGGCATCTCTGTGTTCTAGCTTTCTCTGTGGTGAGTCATTCTTTCATTCCACAAGGATCTAGTGGAAGGCGGGGGTTAAGGGGAAGGAACCCTGTGTCTCTGTTCTGGCTTTGTGTCTTTCCAAGCTGGTTCAAAGGCTATCTGCTCACGGGTCTTGCTGTCTTCTCTGGGAGCTTCCCACAAACCTTTCACAAGGCAAAGAGTACACCATTCCCATTGTACAGAGGGCTGAGGTAGGGGAAACAGCTTCCTTTGAGTTGGATTCCCCACCCTCTTGCCTGGCAGAGGTCTTTCTCTGTTGCTATGACACATATCACCCTGAATGTGTCCTATGTCATCTGATCTTGGAAGCTAAGCAGGGTGGTAGTGATATGCCATGGAGTTGGTTCTGAAGCATAGTGACCCTGTACAGGGTTTCTGAGGCTGTAAATCTTTACGGGAGCAGAAAGCCTCATCTTTCTCCTGTGGAACAGCTGCTAGTTTTGAACTGCTTACCTTAAGGTTCACACACGGATTCATAACCACTACACTACCAGCAGGGTAGAGTCTGGTTAGAACTTGGATGGAAAACCACTTGGGAATACCTGATGCTGTAGACTTGTAAGGGGTCCTGGTGTTGCACTGTAGGATAATGCACTGGACTGCAAGATTGGTGGTTCAAATTCACCAGCTGCTCCTTGGAAACCCTATACAGGGTTGATATGAATCGAACTGACTCAATGGCACTTAACAACCACAACATGGCACAAATCACAGTATTTATTGCAAAACTTGGTTGAATAACTCTGGGATCCCAAGCAGATGGAGGGCGGTCCAGGAGAACAACTCTGCCCCTTGTTTTCAGCCCCCTGCTCCATACTGGCCTGGGTCAGAATTCCAGGGCTCCCCCTGACAGAGTGTTTTGCCTTTGCCTGGCTAACTGACTGCCTTCACTGATGCCAGTCTGAAAGGTTGGCAATTCAGATCTACTTCGAGGCTCCTAGAGAGAAAAGTCTAGCTATCTGCTCTGGTAAACATTGTTGTTAAATGCATTTGAATTGGTTGCAATTCATTATGACCCTGGATAGGGTTTCAGAGAGGCAGCTGATGGATTTGAACCACCAACCTTTTCCCCTTAGCCGGCCATACCAGGAATCACTGGAAAACCCTATGAGCACTTCTGTTTAGCCAGATTTCCACTAGAAGGTGCATGACAGCAACACCCGTTACACAAAAGCTGAGGAGGACCTTTTGAAAGAAGATTACCCCCCTGCGGGCAGGGAGCACTGGGTGGGCGCCAGGGTGCCCTTCTTGCACAGAAGGGACACGTTTACCACACTTAGCCTAACTGGGGGACCACGTGTACTACTGCAAGCTTGCCTTGTCCCCAGTTGCACATTCTCCCATGAGATGGGGGGCGGGGGCACGCGGGGCCATTTTCCTTGTCATGTCATTGGTCTGAGAGAGGCAATGTCTTTTCCGTACCATTTTTCTGTGCCCTTGGCCTGCACTTTAAAATCCCGTGGGGGTTCTTCTAGAACTCCAGGAGCTTGGGGCAGAGTAGAGTTTTGGATTCTGAGAACCCGAACCCTACCTATACATCACCAAACCCTTCCTTCCTTACTGGCCGATCACAGCTTCCTGGTAACAACTGCCAGATCCTGGCTCATTGCTAGTGTTCTCTATCTAGTTTTCCCTTCAGATTTGGGCCCTTAGGCGACGGGGTCCACGTCCTTGGATCCCTCATTTTCTCCTGCCTATTCCTGGCGATAAGTGAGAGAAAACAATGCAAATACATCCACTTGGAAAAATCCCCCGGAAAACCTTTTTAGGGGTCGTGAGTTCAGCCTCAGGTACTGAGATTGCAGAAATTAGCAGTGCATAGGGTGGGCAGGAGTCCTGGTGTGGCGCTAGGGGTTAATGCGCCAGACTGCAAAGCCGTTTGAACTGCAAAGTCGGCAGTTCAAGCGCACCAGTCGCTCCTTGGAAACCCTATACAGGGTCTCTATGGGTCGGAACCGACTCGGCGCCACTTAACAACAACACAACAGGGTGGGCAGCCCCTGGTTTTCTGACTTCCAATAATCCCCCTCTCCTCTTCCTCAAGGCCCCAGGTGCATCCTCACTTTTTGCCTCCAGCTCAAAGGATTGTCTCAGACTTTCGCATCTTTAGCAGTCTTCTCGGTCCCATGGGTTGAGTGTTGTTCCTTCCTGCTTTCTGTTCCAGGCGCTGGGGGTTCCAGTCTTCCTTCAGCTTACAGTCTAGTGGAGAAACAATACGGTGCAATAACTAGTTGTAATGGTCAGCATTTAGTGAGTATTTCCTGGACACCGGGCGCTCTGCCCGCCCATTTACATTCTTTATTTTATGAATATCCTAGTGGGTACAATGGTACCTACTCTATACCAGAATTCAAGGCTTAGAGAGACTGAATCACTTGCTTAAGGGCACTCAGCAGAGGGTTGACTCGAACACGAGTTCGTTTACTTTCGGGACTCGGTTTCGGGCCTGAAGAGCACGGAAGGTCGTGGCACCCTCCTGACCTCCCCCCAGACTGGTGTGCGGTGGGGCGGGTGCAAAGAGGCGGAGCACGCTTCTCCCGCTCAGACACTGCCCACTAGTG